CCTCCTCGGTCAATCATCAGGGCATCTTCGCACCCTCAGGGACCCCGATCACCCATCTCTGATGCGAAATCCCACTTCTCCCCCTTCCTCTCCCCCGACCCTCTGCACCTAGAAACCATCTGGTGAGCTCGTTCTCCATCTACGTTGCCTAAAAAAGCACTCGTACATCACAGGTGTCTCCAACGAGCAGGAGGATGTTGGGAGATGGAGAGCTGTTGATGGGGTCTCGGGCGAACCCTGTTTCTGCTTTCGTCCACTACCTTGTGGACTGATTTGGAACTTTGTTTATCTTCGCTCCTCCGATGAAGGCCTTGTTCTCTTGGAAAATTCTGACTGCCTGCTCGCCCCTACGTGGCTGTAAGACCATCAGATGATCGTCCGCCGGCGCAGAGTCCCATGATCGCCAATGATCCGGAGGTCTTTGCACAGTGTCACTTGTCTGCAGTCGAAGAGCCTGAAGATTCCTCATCCTCCTCCTCTAATTCATTATCCACAAGTTGGCCCTCCTTTCCAACAACCCGAGTTCTTCTCCATCTACGACCTAACCATACAGCCCAAACCACCCCTCATACTTAACGAAACCGAGCACCTGCCACATCCCGGAGAACCTGGCTGCCATGTGAGAAAACTGATGAGCTCAAGCGTCAATCTGATTATAATTCGCCAACTCCGGCGCCTTACTCGCGACCCCACCTCCGCCGGACGCTTACTCGATCCAGCGAAGCGCGGCCTTCCAAGTTCCGGGTCTGTGTCAAGCGCCCTCCAGAAAGACTCCATCCGACCACGCGCCCCGAAATTTGGCCTTGTTCCGCAAATTGCACCTTTGGCTCTCCAAGGCTCAAGCACCCTCGTACTCTAGTCGTCGCTTGGAGACGTGCACAGCGTACACTGTGGGTCCATGATTATGACTCGTTGGGGAATAATTGCGACCTCAGGCTTTACGCTGTGTTATCATCAACAAGGACAGAACAAGAAACGGTAGGCGGTGGGCCTGTGGTTCTCCTCCATACCTATCACCCTGACTGATATGGAGCTCCTGCGTCGGCTTGGCATCTCTTGATAACTTTGATGTCCACCAAAATCATGTACGCACAGCTTTCTAGATCTTCAAACGATAGTTCTTTCTCAACTCTAATAGTGGTAGTTGTACTACGAATAGTACTACAGTCTCTAGTGGCTATGCGTGCGTGCCTATCCACGTCCTCACTCGAGCCAACGCGTTCCCAAATCTCAACTTCACGATCCATCGTCACCGTGTCTGCCCTATTCCCGTTCCCATTCCGAATCTATCACCTGCCGCGATATCGTGATACTACCACGTCTCTGCCTCCATCCAAAACACCATATCCGAGTCAGGCAACATGAAACCGCGGATCCCAACGATCATGATCGAATTCGAGGATCATCACTACCTGCATCGCCTCCTGAGTGCCTGGGCTTGGGTCGTCTCCGTCCCCTTACAATGCGCACAAGGGCTTGGACCCACTTTCACGACGCGAGCCTTATAGTCTTACTTCGTTTGTGCCGCGCGCAGGTTCTCGTTCTCTGTCTTCCACGTTGGCTTCTTGTGCTTTGAGAACGGTAGTCACCACCATCATCCCCCCTCCATCTGGTATATTACAAAACAAGAGGGTGCGAAGGCTATAGCATCAGCATCCGGCGCATTCTTCGCCGGATCTTGGAAGCATCAGGACTCGCTGGTGTGCCAGGATATGGGTGTGATCATGTTGCCCCCTCAAACATCGCTGAGTCATGTTTTCCGTGTCGCCATGCGCCGTCCCATTCATTCATTCCCTGATGATGAGGGCGAGGGCGAGGGAGGGGATGACGGGTTGACCCCACGACTCTCTCAACTTGAAGGTTTGCATGTGGAGTGTCGTCGGACGACGCTCCAGTTTGGGCAGCCATGTTTGGTCATGTTTGGCTAGACCTTCGGGCGCGTAGACAGTATGTACCGTTTCGGGCGTTCACTACCACAACACATTGCATTCGCTGCTCGCACTGCGTCTGCACACTGCGCATCTCAGGGCTTTGTGGCAGATCGGGCCGCTCCATCTGGTGACAACTGCGCGATTCGACTCACGGTGTCATCGTTTTCTCGCTTTCCTGCTTTCCGTGACTGTGCTACTCTGCTTTCGTGTTTTCGCGCTCTCTGGCCTGTGTTTCGTGTTTTCCGTGTTTACTGTGTTCCCCCCTCCGAGATCTAGCCACTGAGACTGTCCCGTTATGGCACCAGGAAATGGGAAGAAGCATAAAGGTTCAAAAACGAAGAAAGCCATGGTAACTGCCACATCACCAGAGCCGCAGCCACCAGCTCCAACGACTCAGCACGCACCCGTTGTACCAGCGAACCGAACGGCGAATCCGGCCGATACCTTCATCGCCGCAGCCAGGAATTTTTCGAATGCAGATTGCCGGCCCCTGACGCCCGACGGCTTCATCGCTTTGAATGAGCTATGGAATTTGGCGCTCGAGATCGGGAGGAGGGCAGGCACCGAAGAAGTGGTGAACGCAGGGGAGAAAGAGGCGTGGAATCGTGGATACGAGACAGGGAGGCAGTGGGGGAAAGATGAGATGGAGGAGCGGCTTGAAGAGAGGTGGTACGATGGATACCGCAACGGGGAGCAGGCTGGACAAGGAGAAGAGAGGGACGAATGGGTCATAGCAGGACATTCTCTGACACAGGCGAAGTGCACATACCTCGGAACGACGAGCGACGCTGGGATACAGATGAAGTCGACACCACCAGCAAACACCTTCGAAATTGCGATTCAGACACCATACACCCCTGTAACGACCTGCGACGCGGGGATTCAGGCGAACTCGACATCACCGGGGAACACCTTCGAAATCGCGGTTCAGACATCAGCTCCCCCGGTCACGGCTCCTATGATTGCTCTCGTCAATACAGAGACGCCGGTTGAACCCACGGCACCCGTGAATTGGGCGGACGATGCCGACACAGAGCTCCCAGTACCACTCGCACTGACACCAGCACTGACACCGAGACCACGCGACTTTTCTGTTCTTTTGGCGGGATCTGCAGCACCATTTAACACTCTTCAGCATCGTATTCGACGATTACATCGAGGACAACGAGTACCACAGCGACGACGATTTATACCCCGTGTCAACTACAGTCAGGAACCTATCATTACCTACCGATACCCATCCGGAATTGCACAGGGAAAACCTGTCTACACCATACAGTCATCGCCGCCACCGCTAATCCCGCCGCCGGCGCCAGTGACTACTCCTCAGGTCGAGTTGGACTGGGATAGAGACCCGCGACTATCGAACCTTCGTAACGCGCTTCACAGCTTGGGATGGATTCGAGTTTGAGAGGTTAGGCTTTGTGGCAGTCAGGTTTGGAGAGATGAGTCGACGATCGCGACGAGGACGTCGCTATGTAAAGGGGGGCACATGGAGTGTCGTCGGACGACGCTCCAGTTTGGGCAGCCATGTTTGGTCATGTTTGGCTAGACCTTCGGGCGCGTAGACAGTATGTACCGTTTCGGGCGTTCACTACCACAACACATTGCATTCGCTGCTCGCACTGCGTCTGCACACTGCGCATCTCAGGGCTTTGTGGCAGATCGGGCCGCTCCACCTGGACACGGGGAGGCGGAGCGTCGACCCACAATCAGTGGATACTGCGACGGTTATGATTTCCGGTTAGGAGTGATCATCATAGTCATCCTCGTCGTCATACCAGAAGCATGACCTCCGTCTTCATTGGTCGCGAAGGGCCTGTCGAGCGAAGGCTCTATCAGTGGTGGCGAATTTGGATTGTGGATCGTGGACAACGATGATGATGAGGTCGATGTGAGGCTGACGATGTATGTCGTCGATGGATCCGTGCATAACTAATACGAGATGATCTGCAGTGCTCCTGCCGACGCAGATGAGGACCGGGCGGTGGTCTCAGTTTGTTGGAGCCTGTTTCGCGATGCGACGAGAGGGAGTACGATGCCTGCCATTGAGTATATATGTGAGTGGACATGCGCAATATCATCATGCAGATAGCACGAAAAAAAGCATGATAATCCGAGTCATGGTGGGCCTACGATGGTACCTAATCTGGGGTCGCTGGTGCGCCGAGATATGTTAGCGCCGATAGTATGCGATTACCCACAGTTGTAGCGGAGCGGGGCTGAATGGCAGAAGCATTATATTAGGGAGATTGGAACACCGGTGGGTGGTATTACTATCAGGTCATGATGTGTAAGTCATGACGAACCTCATGCGAGATGCGTTCGCGCTCTCGACCTCATCAGTCGGCCGGAAACTTTCTCCTGCCGTTTTCCGTTTTTGAACCGGACGAAACGTTGCTAAATTTAAGTGCCCTCCATATCGGTATACGGTGACCTTGGGTCATGATCTATGGCTTGAGTCGAGGCGCGGCGACTCATGTCTTTAAGATGATTGCAACATGGTATTGATATTATCGGATACACCTGTGAGCGCTCGTAGTGCCTGATACGAAGGGACTCATCCCGGGTGGCCGAAATTCGGACCGCAAGGGCTTTTACAATTTCCTGAAGGGATCTTCTGGAAGAAGTATTGAGGACTATGCTGTCGGTTATTACACTCCAACACATTTTCATTTTTAGACGGCCCATTGGGTTTCATGACCATGCCTTTTCCCGCAAATATAACGCCCTCCGATTGCCACCCCACATAAAGTCAGCTGTCAAAAGCCACGAATGGGCCCATATAACCCTTCACACTACGTACTCGACCATAACCGCCCAGAACCGCCCTGAGCTTGAACAACCCAACCCATGGCCAACCAGCCAACGGTATATCAAGCGCACCCCTTCCACGGCCTCGTTGACGTATGCGAATTTGCTGAGCCCAAAGCGTCCGTCATAGATCCATATGGCACCGATAAGGGATGGGCGGCAGCCCTAGTGCCCTTAGCAGCGCATACCATGCCGGTGTTCATGGAAAGTATCATACAAGGTGTTCGGATGGGAGGAAGGAAAGCCAAGATGTATGGGTCGATGGCGTAGCTGGTTATCGCATCTGTCTAACATTAGTGGTGAGCCCTAACGCTTCACAGAAGGTCCTCAGTTCGAACCTGGGTCGACTCATATTTTGCTTCGTGTGTGCGTCGTGAACGATGCACGAGCTCGCTGCTCGCCAATACCATGGTGGCATGGCCCCTCTCACTGCTGGCGGTATGGCAGATTTGGGAACAAACACGGTTTAGCTAACACGCTTTCGTACTTACAAGAGAATTTTTTGACAAACACTTAGAAGGTTTGTTAATAAACAGTCAGAAAACACGTAACGTGTTTTTTGGAGGTTTGTACCAAAACAGGAAAAAGATTTCCTGTTGTGTTTTTTGACAAACACGCATTCCTTTGTTTGAAACAAAGGAATGCCTGTTCTTCAAGAAACACAAGAAGAAAAAGGTTATTTTATTGGCAGCAAACCTATAAAAAACAGGTTACATGTTTTCCGACAGTTTCTCAAGAAATCTGTTAGGTGTTTGTCAAAATATTTATTTTTAAGTAAGAAAACATGTTTGTTAAACCGTGTTTATCGCCAAACTCTCGATGACGCCAGCAGTGTCTGGATTCTGAAGACTGACATCATATTCACTGAAATTTGAAATTTGATTAAAGTACAAGCTGTGCTTGCAATGCCTTGCATGCATACAGGACATGAGCATGCACGTCGCACCAGCAGTGATAAAAATGGCGAACATCCAAGGTCTGCTCAAGGAAGGAGGAAGGAATAATTATAATAGCGGCGAAAAGCCGTATAATTCCTGCGCAACACTTAGCGGCAAGTCGTTCTTCTTCAGCACATCAAGTATGCTCAAGGACTATACGATAAATGTTCAAGGGACTCCATATGAATTTGGATGGGCTTGGTTGCTCAATCGCCGCTCCAGGACAGCGCATAGGCAATCGAGATCTTGAACATTGCTGTCGTCGAGTTATCCACTCGTACGTCAGGCCTTCAGGGATGGTCAGACAATTCTTTCGGACAAAAATCCACTCAGGACTTGGAGTGTCGTGCTTTGACAAGGTTCCCCGATGACGACGGCAGCCAGCGTGGATCTGTAAAATGCCGTCGTTGTCGAGAGTGTTGATTCTTCCTCGGTAAGAGGCTTGTACGGTCAAAGATTCTGCAGAACTGTAGCCGCTAAACGGTAGGAAAGGTAACATTGTACTAGAGCAACCGTCTCGCCTACGATCCGCGGGGTCGATGGCGTAGCTGGTTATCGCATCTGTCTAACATAGTAAGGGACATAGTTGTGCACAGAAGGTCCTCAGTTCGAACCTGGGTCGACTCATCTTTTACCTTTTGTGCATCCAGGAAACGATACAAATACTTATGTTATTACTCGCAAGAACTCCAAAGATAGGGCTTTAGCCTTTGTGCCAAAAGGACGAAGAGTCGAAGTCGGAACAAGTGTCCACAAAGTGGTACTACAGTACTCAACACAGTATAATGTAGAGGATGCATGTAGGTCTGGGCGAAAAATCACAGCATGGATCGGAAGCAGGCAAGGAGAAATGAAGGCGAGGAAAGTAATAAGGCCGAGTTCGCATCAAAGTACGCGTCGGGGGACTAGTGAGAGCAATTACTTTGATTCATTTCAAGCCTCATCAGTGACAGGAGTGAGTATTCGGGTTACAATACTCCGAAATCCGTCGTCACCGCCCCCGGTGCACCGGGGCTCGCAAAGTTGACACTAAGAATGTTCGCATTCGTAAGATCCTGCACCGCCTACAACACGTAATCCGGCGCTCTGTGTGGACTTGGGGCAGGGAGTGCCGCTGCCGCCGTTCTGCGCGACGCTGGATCTGGTGTCATCACAATATGATGACTTTTGCTACTTATGTCTATGTCAGATTCATGCTGGAGTGACGGAAGAAGATCTCGAGACATAAGTTGTGCTGAGACGACAGCATACAGAGAGAACGCTGAAGGTGGCTTTCCCGACGATTGTATTACCCAAACTCAAGACGTTAAGGTAGTAAAGCTGAGTCATATGACGACGCGCGTCTCATCGAGAACTCGGAGTGGTTAACATTGCTCTAGAAGCTAGGTATTGAGACGCGGGGCCAGAGTCAGACTGAGGTCCAGGATCGAGCATACAGATGAGCGTTATCCATGTCAAGAGACGATGATGCAAGTGGGACCAACTAGAAATCGGAGGATTGATGCCGGCAAGTCGATTCCTGGTGATACCATTCGGTTCTCCTTCGTACCCAAGTTACCTGTCGTGGCCAACATATATCTGGTGCAGTCGTCTTCGAAAAGCGTCGGCTTAGGAGGTGTCATTCCGATGAATTGGGGCACTTGAGACCGCGAAAGTCGGCAGAGCTTTTTTCGGCGCCTCTTGTTGCAGCGTCCTAGCAGGGTGAGGTAATAATCAATTTCCATCAGCCTTCGTGTCTGTTTGGACGCACGAATGATGAATCCTTGTTTCCAATTGCGGGAAGCAATGGCCAGGGGACTCCAGGGGAAGGTAAAGGTCGACAGACCCTAAGAGCTCGAAGTTCAATCAGAGAGGCCCTCCAGGATTTGCACGTGGAGGTTTACATGTACTGTGTACATCGCAACGTCAGGAAAAATTTAGAGAAGTCCTGGCAATGGTGATTGCCGTCAGAGAACTGTACGGAGGAATTGTCAACGTCACCTCTATTATCGGATCGAAGAGTTCGTTGAGTACAGTTGGTTCCTCCATTTACCACCCACCATGCCACTGTTCAATCGCGCCAAACTCCCGCCCCTTCCGATATCCATACGGGTTGAAACAGAAACGCAAGTTAACGTGGAAGACTCCGGCCGAAATTCACACGGCCCGTCAACTGTCACCACTGTGTTGTCACCATCACAGTCACAGCACCCATTTCCCTCATCGCCGCAGCCGACGACGACGAGGCTCTTCCCAACAATGTCGCTGCCACGAGCAAACTACGATCCCCGCAGGGTCTGCTTGAACCCCTTCCCTGAGATTTCGCTTGGGAAGCACCGTCGAACGGTCGGTGTTTACCTGGCCGGCGCGCTGGTGAGTCTCGCCGAAACCATGAGTGACTGCTCAGAACTGACGACGAGCTCGAAGTTCGCGCTAGCAAATTGGACATTTTTGGACGCTGCTGTACTATCAGCGCATGCACGTTCGCCATGGGGGCAGCCGGACACTCCGCCCCCTGTTCACGTATCCTTCGTGGACTGGATACCTGGCATCTGTTCGCTTCTGGGATATCTGGTCATCACCATCATCGACAAGGACCGAGTTCGCGGAGACGAAGGTTTTGGAGACTCTAGGGCGGTGTGGAGGGCGAGATTGAGCCTGTTCATCGGATTCGCACTTATGGCTGGCGGGCTTGCCGGGAGCGTGGTATGTGGACAGAAGTCTTCATATGGACTTTATACTCATCACACCAACTCCACAGACCGTCTTGATCCTCAAATATATCCTCAACGGATATCCCGAACAATTCACATACTACGGTTACGCGAACGTTTCGCAAAACATCGCGCTCATGCTCTCAGCCATTGTACTTTGGATTGCCCAGAGTGGCGGCAATGAGTACGAGTATAACCTTACGCTCTGAGACTGGGTGGGCCTTGTCATTTCCCTGTACTTATCTATTGCGCAGTGTAACGAACTGTAATCAAACGGGCTTATTCCCCAGGATTTTCGTTGTAGAGCGCTCGACTTTGTCCCTAGTTCTTCGTTGTTTGATCATTTCTTGACTCTTTTATTGTTGAAAGGCTCGCATAGATTCTCAAACATCAACCTATCGAGTCACTGGCAACAAAGACAACAATGCCATTGAACCCAAGACATGGGGTTACCTGGGAAATAGGTGCAACTGCTCTGGTGAGAAATACCATTATCGACATTGAGACGCCCTCGGGTATCTAAACTTAGGCATCCTCAGTCGATTGACCTCGCGCTATCGCCAACTAGAGTTACTTATAACACCTCTCATACAGGCAGAGGCGAACTTGGCTCGTATCATCTGATGTCCGTAGTTCAGCGAACGATACCACGTACTTGGAAGAAGACCCACAATACTAACGACCACAGGCTTCTCGTGCCATGTCGTATTCTGCTCCCCCAGAAGCACAGTCTCTGTCACCTCAAACCCGCGCTCCTCATAGAACGACGTGTTTACGAAGTTGGAGGATTACAACCATGTTGCCTGCCCAGCTAAGTCCGCCTGAAAACAAGGGTAGAGTTATTGGCGCATCAGAGTCGATGTAGGAAAGACAGGGCAACTTCTCGCTCTCACCAATACGACCATAGCATCCAACAGGGCGCCTCCATATCCATGACCCTGGTGCGCAGGCTCAGTCCATAGGTCCCCAACCATCCACATCTTGTCGACGCGGTCGCCGAGCGCTCGTTTTTGGGCATCGCTTAGCTTGTCGTCGACTTCCTTGCGACGCTGAGAATGTTTAACAGACGAGTACTCCTGATATCGGAACATGTTGTGACTTACTCCCTTGGCCTCTGGGTCCCACATCATCTCCTTACGCTTCTCGGTGAACACTTTCAGAAACCGTTCTGCAATCCTCGTGATCAGGCCTTTTGTAGGCCCGCCTGTAGTGTCCTTCGGTGGCGAACTATCCAATTAGGAGATATTGATGAGTGCTGGAGAGCTCTCTGTCCGTCACCTGCCTCACTTACGCTGTGACATTAGCAGTCGGGCCTGCATCAACGGTCAAGGCGATGCCCGCGCGTATAGCGCAGAACAGATATATGACGACTAACAAGCGTTCCATGACCATTTCGGCACGATTTTGCTCACGATCCTGGAAGCATTCGGGAACGTCGTGAGCAAGGCAGCCAATGTACATCGGGATACCTACATTTCGAACGTAACGCATCATGGGATCCCGCGCAAATGTTATTTGGAACGTCTTCACTGCTCGAAGGATGTCTCCTGATTGAAGCGGCATCAGTACTATGCGACTTAGGAAGGGTAGGATTTCCTTGCTATATTCGAGTTGCGCCACACTGACGTGCGCTACATTGGTATGTGAAGGGAGTGTAGGCGACTTGAAGTCTTCGACCATCTTAACGGCCAGCTGTAACTCTAAGTAAAGCGGTCTTTTTATTGCCCATCGGCTCGTAAAAGGATCAGGCTTTAAACTGATATACGCTGCGAGTTGACTGAGACTGCGCAACAGGTGGCAGAGCCTACAGCGAGCTCGACTTGCCGCTTGCTGATCAGCATTACTTACTTCTGGGCGTTGAGGCACCTCGACGTAAGTCACCTGGGCTTCCGCTGCGGGGAGATGCAGTACCGCAGTAAGCTGAGGACCTATCACGGAAGGAGGAGAGGTAACGCCTCCGCAGCACTTCCACATGTCATCATTCTTCTGACTCCATCAAGTAGCGCCGTTCATACACCCACACCGGCGACCAGGAGGCATTTTTGGCAGATCAACATGTAGATGTTGTTTAATTGAAACAGGCGGTCTACTACCGCACTTGCTGCCCCTACTCATACAACATACGGGTACTCTCTGCCTTCTAGTCATGCCGGATATCTCTTCAACTTGATGGCAAGTCTACAGACGGGGGCCACCTTGGCGCCCGTGTCATCTAATTCCCGCACGTTAAGAGACAAGACCACACGAAAACCCAATACGACGTACAATGCTTATAGGAATGGGTTTCTTTTGCCACGTTGGATTATCGTCGCCCAATAGCATCGTATGGATGGTCTCGAACCCATGCTTGTTATAGAACGCTGTATTTTCCAAATTGGAGGACTTAAGCCACGTCGTATGCCCAGTCCTGTCGGCCTGAAGACAATTCGGGAAGAACTTTAGTGCATTGCTCTCCGGAGCAGAAAGCGCAACCGGGGGATCCCCTTTGCCTTACGAGCATAGTCACAGCGCCGACCAACGCGCCGCCATACCCCTGACCTTGGCTTGCAGGATCAATCCAAATGCCGTCAAGCAACCACATCCTGTCAATACGGTCGCCTATCGCTTGCCGCACAGCTTCCCGTGTTTTGTCTCTAAGCTCCTGTTGTCGCTGAGAAATGTCGGTAATGCTAAAAGATGAGAGAGTAGTCCTCAGGAATACCTTCTTGGCTTCCGGGTCTCGCACCATCCGGTCGCGCTTTTGGACAAGATTTTTGGTAAGCCAGTGAGCCAGCTTGACGACAGGATCTCTTTCGGGCTTGTCTGAACCATACTTCGGCGGTACGCTATGGTGGTAAGCATTCAAGAGAATGCCTTTTTATACGCTGCACTTACGCTTTGACAGTGGCGATCCCGGCGTCCACTGTCAAAGTCACACCAGTGCGTATGCTGATG